CTGGGGATACACACTGAGACCCACTGCCCAGTTAGATATGAGTAGGGTGCAGGTCTAAAAAGCCTGCCTTCCTTTTCTGCTGCCTAGGAACTATTGAGGATGAAGGGGGGGTGGGTGGTGTGCTTATCTTTCCGTGTTTTTTTTTCTTGGTAACACTCTGAGGCATGTGAGATCTTAGTTCCAAAGCCCCCTGCAGTGGAAGCATGTAGTCCTCACCACTGGACCACCAGGAAAGTCGTGGGGGATGTGTGTGTATGTGTGGAGCTGGCGCACTCGAGGGAGACGTTACACCCGGGGACAGTCCAGCACAGAAGAGCAGAACTCGCAGGGTCAAGAAGCGGCCTGGGGCGGTGGGAGAGCAGAGGGAAGGCGGCGAGTAGGGGAGAAGCAGGAGGAAGGGAGAGAGACGGGGGTGAAGGGAGGGAAGGGCAGGCTCTCTATTCCCAACACCCCCTCCAAACTAACCATCTGTCTGGGTAATGGATGCTCAACCCTTGAATACAGATTCACCACATGGCCACAAAGAAAAAGCTTTCAATAAAATTGGCCCTTAAGTTATTGGAGGCTTTGCCTTACAGAGCACGATGCTGTTTCAGGGAGAAAGGAGAGCTAAACTGCTCTCCATCCCAGGGCTCGCTTCTCCCACTCAAGTCCCTCGTCCATCACTCCTGCCGCCCCCCAAAAAGCGATCAGAGACGAAAGCAAACCGGTGCTGGTGAGAGCCAAGTGGCCAGTGCCCCCTGGGAGAAGCAGGGGTTATGGGATGAGAAGCCCTGTCCCTTCTCATTAAACCACTTACATGCCTACCACCACCACCTGCTGTGGGGAGGGGGTGGTCTGTGCATCTGGGAGGAGAAGCATAACACCTGCTAATTCCTGTGTGGAAACCACGAAACATTCTTGCTTTCTAGCTCAAACCACCCTAGCACTGCCTCCCCCCGCCCCCCACCGCTGACTCTTGCCCCCATTCCCAGGTAAAGCAGCACTCATTACCCATGCAAACTGGAAGAGCAGTTTGCTATATGACTATTTCTGGGTTCCTTAGTAATTTTATATTTTTGTTATTTTATGCTTTCACTTGGTTACAACCAGAGTTATTACTCTGTGCAAGTTGCCACAATTTTAGAAAATTAATCGCTGTTTTCAGTTACAACATTGTGCTTTCTTCCAATTAGGAAATGAAAGCAGAGAGGGAACTCAGGCAGTTGAGTGTTTTGAGAATTCAGCAAAACTTCAGCTCAGCAATCCCTAAATGTCTAACTAAGAAACAAAACAGAAATTAACAAAAAGCCCCACTGGCTCAAGTGTGAGGAAGTCAGGCGGCAAGTGAGGCCCTGAAGCATGGACAACAGCATATCCAGCCTGGAGGGGGCTCAACTGGACAGAGGGAAGGGACAGACAAAACAGGCATCCAGTGTTATTTCTCCTGATTTGCCAATGATCCTAAAATTGGGAGGACTAAGCCTAGCCTTATTAAGCAGAGAAGGCAAATGTCTGAGGACCGTAGATCCTAGAAACAAGGATAATAATTAAACTCAACATGGGGAAGAAAAGAATTCAGCACACAGAGATATTCAAGGGAGAACCCTGGAAAGCAATTACAGCTGAGAAAAGATGGGAGGTGAAGCATGGACAAACAGCTAAGAGTCTGATAGGAAACAGAACACAAACGCCACTGTGCCTCCAACAAAATCAGCAAAGGATCAAGCGCCATGCACAAAACCACAGTAAGACCGGAACCTGAGGCTGGCTCTGCCTTGCTGAAGAGGCAGAAACCTAAAATGAAGAAAGCAGTCATTAAGAACAGCAGTTCTCAAACTCAAGTGCGTATGAGATCATCTGGAAGCTTGTTTGACAGACACAAATACCTGGTCCCCTCCCCGTCCAATTCTTACTGATTTTAGGTCTGAAGTAGAGCCTGTATTTTAACCAGGACCCCGTGCATTCTAATGCAGGTTGTCCAAGGAGCACAGTTTGAGAAGCACTGATCCACAGGTCTAAAGAACTTGCTGTTAATAAGTGCACCCAGGCTAAGAGCAATTAGCAATTCATTTTCACAGTTTTCATATGCAATTGGGTAAGGGATCATCTCTTGAGGAGAGAGAGTCCCTCAGTGGGAATTAACCTAAGTCAATGCTCTTGGGGATGGTCTCCAAGGAACATCTGTTGGCCCAACAATTTCACCTCTCAACGTTAACACAGTGAATTCCAAGAGCTAACACCACGGAGAAGGGGGACCTGATAGAGGAGCTCCAGGACGGGCCCAGTGCCCACAACCCCTTCACAGTCAGAGCTGGACATGACGGATGCAGACACTCATCTACACTTATCTGTGCAAAGAGGGCAAGACTCTACTGTCCATTAAACCCTTGCTCCCTGTTCTCAGACAAAAATGGCACTTCTTGCCTTAAATGGTGGTACAGCACAGCTATCTAAAAAAGCTGGTGTCTTCCCTCCCACCGGGTATTGAATTCAGGGACATGTGCTGAGTGCTTTGCTGTCTTCGGTCGTAAGGGGCAACCGAGACCTGGAAAACCAGAAACCTTTCTCTAGCACGGGGGCTTAAAGTCAGACTGGGTGGACACAGGGTAAGCAAAAACCTTGCTGAGAAGCCCAGATCCTGCCTCTTATGTGAGGGAAACACTTCCCAAATGAGAACTTTCAAATTACTTAGCTCCTCTCCTAAGTGGTGTGGGCATCCTCAGTCATGTCCAACTCTTGCGACCCCATGGACTGTAGCCCACCAGGCTCCCCTGTCTACGGAATTTTCCAGGCAAGAATTCTGGAGTGGCTTGCCATTTGCTACTCTGGGGAGTTTCCTAACCCAGGCATCGAACCCACGTCTCCTGCATGGGTGGGTGGATTCTTTAACACTGAGTCACCGGGGAAGCCCCTGCTAAGCAGCAGGTGGGGCCTTTCGAGAATCGAAAGCCTGACAAGCCCGGGAGGCCTGACAAGCAGCTCCTGTCATGCACGCAGCAGCTGGCTAGGTGCCCTGCGCCCCTCATCTCCAGAGCAGACTCCAACTGCACCCCCTACGCGGTGGGCCCCATCTGGGACAGCATCTTGGCTTCCACTCTGGAGCTGTCTGCCTTCAGCCAGGTGCTTCTGGCTACTTCTGGAAGAGAGGAACCTTGCTAGGATGGCAGGGTGTACCCAAAAGTTGGGCAGGAGCCCTGGCTTCTGGAAGAGGTTGGAGATGTCCATTACTGCTCCAGTCTCTTACTGATTAGAAACCATTATTCCATAGTTGGGCAGGAAGGGTAAGAAGAACAGCAAGGACCAAGACTCTAGGTGGTGAAAAGCAGACACCAGGTACTTTTACCTACCAAATCTGCTTAACATAAGAATATTTAAAGTTCACCTTCCATCCTCATTTCTCTAGGTAAGAAAACAGGCTTGATGAACTTCTGCAAAGTCCCCTCCCAGTCATTCAATGTCAAACATTTCCAGTCACACAGAATTCAAGAATCAGAACTTTCCTGTCATTATGATGTCAAAAGCAGACAATGCCTCGTTTCTACCCTTGCCAGAGGCATGCTGGCACATGAAATCACCCTTCACTGGTCCTGCTAGTGACAAGCTAGAAATGATAAGGATGCTTTTCTTAAGATTCTCTTTTATTCCCTCAGCTTCTCCTAAATATCAGGTTCCTCATTAGGTACTTGGACTTCACAAAGGTGAAACAGACAGGGTCTCTATTCCCAACGAGCTCCTGGGCCAAGAGAGGAGAATGACATGGAGATATGGAATGGCAGTTTGGTGTGACGAGTGTTAACACAGACAGTGTGCTCCATACAGGGGAGTGATCAACCCTGATTCGAAGATTCCACAGCAGGGAAGCAGCCTGCACGCAGTTGGGTTTCGGGGAGAAGAGGACACTCCAGATAAAGGCACCCAGGCAGGAGAAGGCCTTATTGGCTCCAGGGGCTTGGAAAGTGGCTCAGCAGAGCAGGGCTTCCTCCCTGCAGAACTGGAGTGAGAAGAGGCTGGAGATGCCACACCTGGCCACCTGCTTTCCACTGCTCTGTGTATCATGGGTCCTGTCTTCAGGCTTTTTCTTTAAACCAATGCTTCAGATTCCAGCCTGAATTCCACAAGCATCTACATGTGTGGCACTAAATGAGCGGCCCTGGGGGATATGCCCCTACGGAGCTTACAGTGAAGCTAATTGGGTGGATTAAATAGATATACCACACAGCTAAAGAAAACACGAAACAACACATAAGCAAGAGCATAAAACTATAAGTGGCACAGCACACAGTGCTAGGGGAATTCACAGGTTCTTAGCTCGAGACAGAGCTTAAATACCATCTAATTAGAGAACTGTTCAAATGCTCAATTCCCCTTGACAAAACCCTGGCCAAATGAGCCCCCGTGGGATGTGGGAATCTCAGTCAGAAGCTAGACTGGTTGAGTCCAGGAGGTCACTAACCCCATGATGCCCAGAGGCTTTTATGGAGATACACAGAGGACGGTTTCAGACAAGAGCGGGTTCTGAACACCACCTTTCCCTGCTGGTGGATGGGTGGGACAGTTAGGAGCACGGCAGCTTTGCAGAGTCCGCATCTCCCACTGTGATCACAGCCTTAGGAAAGGAACATTTCATAGTATACTACCTATCTCTTTTTATAGCCTGCCTCCTCAAAAATTAAAAAACAAAAAGACATAAATATTTCATTGGGTTCTTTATGTATCTCCAGACTACAGGTCTCAAGTTGAAAGGACGTATTCAGTTTGGTCTCTATCCCAAGATCCCTTCAGGCCTCTGGGGCCCCAGCTTGTGATTTAGGGTATGAGAAAGACTGCCTTTTAATGGCCCAGAGCGTCCAAAAGTGAGGCTGGCTGGTCACGACTAGGCCGGACTAGAGTCCTTCCTGGCTCCGTATGGGCGTGATGCCTCTGGTCCTGGCTGGGGGACCACACCTCTGGCTTGCACTGCTCTGCCGGCCAGGCCGAGGAGAACCACCACGCGGCGAAGCCACGAGCAAGGCACTCACCCTCATGGAGGTCTCGCCCCCGTGCGCCTGCTGCAGACGGAAGACCTGGGCCACCATGTGCTCCGTGGAGGGGTGCAGCAGGATCCTCCGCGAGGCCAAGCCCACCATCACGTACCGGCCCATCGGGGACAGGCTCACCGAGATGGCGTTGGGACCTGAGGGCCAGAAGCACAGAGAGGCGTTCCCTAAAGCTCTCGAGATTACCAGCAAATAATCTTCCTGCAGTCTTTCTTCTCTCTCCCTGCTCTTCATCTCTGTTTGGTCGTCCTGGGGTTAATCTCACAGGACGGCAGTGAGGAGCACAACGAGAAGGTGTGTAAAGTACTACGTCTAGCTCTTGACATATAAAGAGTACTTAAGGAATGCTAACCTGTATTAGCACAGATCACATTTAAAAATTATCATCATACTGTAACTGCTATTTTGAAATCCACTTTTTTCACTTCATACATTACAAACATTTTTCCCCATTAAATATTCCTCTCTAAGAGCGTTTTAAAGGCCAAATGGTATTCTGTCTTGTCAATGCACCATCATTTATTTAAGCAACTCTTCAGAATTTGACATTTTTCTCTGTGACAAATAACACCGCTGTGAACACCCTTGTACATGAATCGACACAATGCCAGACCGGCTTGCAGCGTGTGAGTGTGCCCACTCCCCCGAGCCATGACCGAGAACAAAGCTCCTCCCCCACTCTCGCCCCTCACAACGGGAGTATGCCGGTGATGCCACGGTGGTGGGGAGGACTCTCCTGCAACACTACCAGCTAGGACAGAGCAGCTTCCTCTGGCCTGTGCCTGCGAAGCAGGGGGCAGCATGTGACCATCACTCCCACCTCAGTGGTGCCTCACCAGGGAATGCCAGGCCGAGGTACCACCTGTCACTATGCTGGGCTTCCCATCCCTTACCAAACCGCTTGGTGTAGAGCATCTCGCCCAGGTTATGGGGCGCCAGGGAGTACACTGCCAGGATGCCTTCGTCAGGAAAGCCCCTCTGACTGCTAGGGATGAACGCTGCCAGGAGCTGGCCATCTGCAGAAATGTCACAGCTGGCATCATTGTAGATCTTGCAGTTCTGCACCAGCACATTCACGGAGGCTGCATCAGACAAAGGAAGAAAAGAGGGTAAGGAAGTCTGGAGTTAATGGTGTGAAAAATGCTGGGTCAAGACATTCGGGGGTGTCTCCCTAAGGGCCTGAATCCGAACCCTCTCCAGAAATACTGAAGGCTGCCTTATCCTACTAAAATGTCACGAAACAAGCAACACAAGACACTGAAAAGATATCTCTTCTACCCCCGTAATAGGAAACTACAGTCAATACACCACAACCACCTACTGAGTCCTAGCTCACACTTAAGAGAAAACATTTGAGAGATAAGGAGAAAGTTATTAAAAACTGTCCCTGAAGAGCCACTCAACAGCAGTTATTGTCCAAAAGATAAAAACTGAGATGAATGAAAATGTAAACCTGCTGATTCTAAGAAAAAGGTGATACAGGTAAAACTTGCTTGGGGGTGAGAATGCTACTCTCCACCTCTATGTGACCTTGGAGAAGGAAATCACTTCACAAATTTGTGTCTTATTTTCTCCTTTAAGAAAACTGGAGCACTTAGAGACTTTAGTCTTCTGGACAGCTCCTTGCTGATACTAATCCCTAGTTCCATAAGAGAGGATAAAGAGAAAGCCCAGCCTGGTTGGAGGGCTGGAACTGCTCACTCTGCTTGGGAGGGTGGGTCCCTCCACCCATGCCAGAAGCCCATGACCATGGACAGCTCCAGTCTGTACTTAGCACTTACTGAGAATTATGCACCGTCAGCCAGGAGGCAGGCCGGCTCAGCATGAGGGCTTGGGCAGGGCGGGGTGGAGGACTGTGTTGGTGGGGAGAATCCATTCCACGTGACAGAACCTACTCTATGCGAGCCAGCTCTGGGACTGGGCCCGCATACCAGGTCTCAGTTCCCATTTGAACCCCTCTCTGAGCATCTCTGAAGTGGTCTACCCTCAATGTGAGCCTGGAACCAGAGTGCCCGCAGTACGGGCATGAGCGGAACAGCACAACAACATCCGAAGGGAACGGACACACAGCACGTCCAAGCGCCTCTGGGCTCTGTCTCCTTCAGATCTACCTTATGTGCACGTGCAAAGAGACTAATTTACTCTTTCTCTCTCTCATAAAAATTCTTCTTAGCTGCACCATGAGGATGTGGGATCTTAGTTCCCCGACCAGGGATCGAACCTGTGCTCCCTGCACTGGAAATGCAGAGTCGTAAACCATGGGACCTCCAGGGAAGTCCCTCTTTCTCTTACTGAAAGATTACTTAAACAGTCACTGGCAGAGGCATTATAGTTAAAACAAACCAACAGGCAAGCTCAAGAGCCCACACCAGATTCTAGGTGAGCTACTCCAGGAGCCAATGTCAAGGGCGAGCTTCCTCAGGAAATTACCCTAAGGAAAAGAAAACAAAGAACTGCTTTCTAGGGGCGGGTGGAGGGGCTGTTGAGGTTTATCAGGAACTTGGGAGTGATTTCTAAAGCTCTCTATTCATCTCCCTTTCTCTATGTGTTGTTAATGAAGCCACACAGATGACAGAGTACATAAAAAAAGACATCGGAACACACTGATTGGCTACTGTGCCAATTCTTGGGGGCTGACACCGACTCCACCAGCACACGTGACACTGAGAAGGGACCACCAGGGTGGTTCTGTTTGCTCACTAACAAAATAATGACAGCCAAGTACTCAGTGCTATCACCATTAGGGCTCTGTGCTGCCCAACTTCCAACACACCATCTGCTCAGGCCTGTGTGGCGAGATCGATCGAGTTAGCACTGAGACCGTCTGCTCCTTACTCAGGGTCCCAAACCTGTTGCCAGAAAGATAACAATCTCCTCCCTTCCCTGAATAGACACAGCATTACAGCTGGGGATACAGAGTCAAAGGAACTGGGGGAGCTTTAAGAGTGAGTCCATCTTCGTTTTCTAACCTTGATGTTGGCACAGTTCTCAGAAAGGTAAAAAGAAACTGACCATCCAAGGTGGAGAGAAAAAGTAAATCACAAATATTAAGTAGGACATGAAAATAAACACAGAAGGAAATGGACTCTGTGGGCTTTAAGACAGCTTTGCATGGTTTCCATCTTATCTACATTTAATGTCTCAAAAATGCATGTATTTTATGAAGGAGGCTTTTCTACCCTGCTGTTAGAGAGTTCTAGTTCATAGGTGTTAGCCTGCAGTTTAAACATACAGAAGCCTACAATGACCCTCAGAACTCACCACCACCACGAGAAAAGCACTGCTAGACTGTTGCAGTTCCGTCACTAAGTCGTGTCCAACCCTCTGTGGCCCCGCTGACCGCAGCGTGCCAGGCTTCCCTGTCCTTCACTATCTCCTGGAGTTTGCTCAAACTCATGTCCGTTGAGTCAGCAATGCTATCCAACTTCCAGATTAAGCTCTAAGGTGGGCTGGGGGTGGGGAGGAAATTACAAATAAGGTTTTCCTTCTTCTGAGAAGTTTGGCTCTAACTGGCTGAAAAACTGGGCATATAGACAAAAAGCATTTTGTGAGCCCCCAAATCCAACCCACTGCGTTTGTGTCTGAACTGTATAAGGATGATTCCAATTCAATGGCCAGCCCCCAAATTCAGTCCGCTCCCCTCAACCCCACCCAATTTCACAACTGCTCCCAGTTCCCGCAGTGAGCTCAGACAGAGACGCAAATAACACGTGAAAAGAGAATGCTGGAATTAAAGTGGAGTTTCTCCAGCAGCAGGCTCAATTTGGTGTGTAGCTAGGGATCCAGGGTTTTACTTCTCCCCTAGTGATTGGGACATGGTAGGCGAAGAGTGATTTGGTAGCTTCAGCAAGCACTGGGTGGTGTGTTTACAGTTTCATTAATATTTCAGAGCTCCCATTAGCAATTTACATTTGCTGCTTGTTGTCTATTAACTTCCCACATGGAAATGGAAATGTTCAGTTACAATGGTGAGTGGTCACTGCTTCAGTTCATTCGTGCAGCGTCTTCTCAGAAGGCTGAAATTTTGATGAGCTGATTTACACAGGGAGAGATTTCCTGGCCCTCTTATTTGTTTTCTCAGGCCATAGCAAAGTAATGCACTAATGACAAGGACAGGTCATCCTTCTTTGGACTCGACAATAATGTAATCAGGTGGAGAAAAAGCTGAAGTGAAATACAGCCTGGGGCAGTGGCAACCCGCAAGCCACCAGAAATCTTTGTTCTGCTTCCTGCCTTGCCTTACTACAGTGGTTCTCAGGTATTAGCATGCACCAGAATCACCTGGATTGATTGCTGGGGTGAGGCCTGAGAATTTGTATTTCGAGTGAGTTCCCAGGTGTCTCCGATATTGCTGATCTAGGACCACACTTGAAAACTGCTGCCTCACCAAATACCCCTTGATCCCTGAGCTGGAGTTCCAGCAAACAGCCCTGCACAGAAAGGCAAGACACATGCAGGGAATGATGATGGAGCAGTTAGCTGGGAAGCTGAGGATGGAAATGAGGGCTAGGAAAGCAAGGATTTTTCAAATCAGAACCGCTTCAGAGCTTCAGCGGGGCAGCTCTAGGGGGAGTGAGAACGATGCAGGAGACAGCAGGAAGCCATGTTCCAGACTTTGCAGTGTAATCGCCTCCTAATTATAAACGATTTCCAAGTGAAAATGCCCTAGCAGGGAATGGGAGGGGTAGGAAATACTGATGCCTGGAGGAGCAGATGGCTCTGCCTTCCTATCAGCTCCATAAATTATAAACAAACACCTTGTACAAAGATCGATTTTGCAGCCTGTTGCTGGCTGGCCAGATGAGGCCACAGGAGCGATTAGTGGCTGCAGTGCTTTTGCAAATGCATTAGATCCTGATTTGGAAAACCCAAAGGGGTTTAAATCAGCAGGAAAATTTCCTTTTGGCCATCTCTGAGCCCTCAGATTTCAGAATAAGACCTCCTGCACAGAGCTCCAGATGACACTATGTAAGCATGCCCAGCAGTGGCAATCACAACATCCTCTGTGGATGTGTGTGTGTGCCCTGCACCGTTCAGCCTCTGGGTTTCTTAAGGTCACCGGGACACCCTGGTGACCAATGCTACTCACCCATAAGAGCTTACTCTTTAAACACACAGTACATCTAATGAGCTTTTTTTTTTTTTCCATGACAGCAGTTTCAAAATTATCTATGTTATACGAGGCCTTACTCACAAACTTCTTAACTCTTTACAGATAGAAATCCATTAATCCTACATCTCAACTAAGAGAAATAGGTGGTGAGACTCTTTAGCCTAATTGTAGAAAAGGGTTGAATTCAATTCAGATTAAGTCAGATGACACAGCAACACAGAGGCTGCTGACCACACACGAGTAAAACTGAGGGCCAGTGGCTCCCAGGCACATGCTGGGCCCAAGCCAAATGCTACCCTCCTCTGGGAAGCAGGCAAGGTTCAGAAACAAATGCTACTGCAAAACAGACCCCCAACTTAACTCTGCCGACAACTCAATCTATCAAAACTGTAACGAGACTTTATTCAGGCCAACCAGGAAAAGCAGAGTTAGGTAAAAGTGACTGGCATTCTAGAGGGTAAGACCATGGCAAGGAACGTCGGCCACCAACAAACCCTAAACTCCTAGAATGCCAAGTTTTTTTCCTAAGTAACTCTTGAGTAAAATAGGGCACTTTTAAGTAGCAGAATTCTACCACTACACAGGACCTAAATGAGGGGGAAAGGTGAGCCAAGTTAAATAAGTCAATCTGGTTGTACCATAATGCTCTTTGATCAGCTCAGGTTTTACAACAGCCATGATCAAAGGAAGCAGGAAGGAACACAGAAGGAGAATGACAGGAAGCTGCAGTCAGAACAAGTGGAGGCTTGTACAGAGACTGTTAAGGACAACCAAAAAGACTGTGCCAGCAGTACGTCCAGTGCCTGTATTCTTCAGAATTGGTTTTTCTTTCAAAGAAAATTGTCTCCAACTGGGGAGAAAACAACACGCTTCAGAATGCTGGATCAGAAGCCAGTTACAGATGAGCCAACAGGTTAAGACAGAACTACCTTCTTTACATGAACATCACTCTCCAGAGGCACCTCTTGG